ACCATGTGGATAAAAGTAAACAGACATCTGCTGAAATCAGCAAGAGTCTATGCAGATAATTACTTCTATACAAACACATTAAGGTAACCTATATGCAGAAAGGATAGGTTTAATGCATTTCTCATTATTGACAGACCTGTCACCCAAGGAAACAGGTAGTACTCTTGCTGATTTCAGCAGATGTCTGTTTACTTTTATCCACATGGTAATTATCTGGTTGTTATGTTACCATTATAATGCAACATTTAGTAAACTGTTTAATTACTGTTACTTCCACTGAACTTCTAACTTAATTATGAATCAGGCTTAGACAACATAGCAGATTAAACAAACAACTCTCTTATTGAAATAGGGTATCTATTTTAATACATTTATCTATGTATACACCCTCCCTTTTAACATGGTATTTTCTCCCCAAAGAGTAATAGCACCATTAACAATTACTAATATTATGTCAGAAGAATGCTAAAGCATAGTCAATGGTTTTTTTGAAGATTCTGCATGTTTGTTTTTCTCCTTTAGGAAATTTTCCTCACTCGGTCAGGCTGGCTATATAGTAAGTGTGCTAACAATACTGGAAAGAGAGAGAACAACAGTTCAAGTAGAATTTTCATAGTTTTGCTAATTCAAGTCTAACACTTTTTCACACCAACTCTTGTCATTTCATAGGATGTCAACCCCTCTGTAAATAATTAAATAGGTTGTTCCCATTCACCTAAGGATTAAATCTACTTTTTTTAATTAAAAAAGTTGAAATACCAAAGTTGTATGTTATATCTCCTTCTTAGGTGAATGTCCTAACCACTGTGTGGCAGAAAAATAGGGGGCATTGAACCTGTTCAGCCTCCACAAGAGAAGGCTGAGGGGGGATCTAGTGGCCGTCTACAAACTAGTCAGAGGGGACCAGCAGGCATTGGGGGAGTCCCTGTTCCCCCGAGCACTACCAGGAGTGACTAGAAATAACGGTCACAAGCTGGCAGAGAGCAGATTCAGACTGGACATCAGGAGGCGCTACTTCACGGTCAGGGCGGCTAGGATCTGGAACCAACTTCCAAGAGAAGTGGTGCTGGCTCCTACCCTGGGGGTCTTTAAGAGGAGGCTAGATGAACACCTTGCTGGGGTTGTTTGACCCCAGTACTTTTTCCTGCCATGGAAGGGGGTCAGACTTGATGATCTGCTCAGGTCCCTTCTGACCCTACTAACTATCAACTATGAAACTATATCCAGGGCGCTACTCTAACTCATGGTGCTTTACATAAAGCATTATGAGTTACAGCAGGCCCTCCTCCT